CACCATGGCTCCCTCCGAGAAGCTCCACGCCAACAACCCCAGCACGGGAAATCGCTCTAGCACCTGCGCCGGCACCCTCCCCAGCACCCCCAGAATGCACGAACCCCGTCGGCGGTAACGACGACGGCTGCGGCTGCGGCGATGGCAGCTGCAGAGGCGGCTGCGGAGGTGACAGCAATGGCAACGACAGGGGAGGAGAGACCGGGCAAAGGGACTCCGCAGAGCCGCGAGAGTCAACAGACTCCTCGACAGGGACAACCGTCGGGAGGGGGGTGACGTGAGACACACCAGACGGGGCAAGGCGGTGAGGGGGAGGAGCAAGAGCGACCGGAGAAGGGGAAACCACGAACAGGGGGAGGGTAACCAGTGGACCACAGTGGGGAAAGCGGTGGTAAAAGGAGACAGACTCATCGAAGGTGACGTCGCGAGAGTGAAAGAAATGGTGAGACGGCGGGTGGTAGAAGTGCCAGTCAGACGAGTCGAGGGGGAAACCTACAAAGACATAGGGGACAGTGCGGGCAGTGAGCTTGTCCGTGCCAGAGGCATGAACGTGAGCAAGGGAGCCCCAGACGTAGAACACAGACGCATCACCATGAGACCCGTTCCAGAGGAGGGTGGGACAAACTTGCGGCCACTGAGGGTGCGGCCACAGGTTAAGATGGTGGGCGGCGTAGCGAACAGCGAACGGCCGCAGAAAATGGGGTGCACCGGCATGGATCATGGAGGTACGAACCACCTCCATAACCAAACCGACGCGCCGCTCAGCGACCCCATTCTGCTACAGGGAGTCCGGCAGGGTGTATGTATGGATGATGCCCTCCGCACGACAGAAGCGACCAAGGCAGCCACAGGCAAACTCGCCACCACAGTCGCAACACAGGGAGACCTCGGTGAACACACGCAGAGACAAAACACGGGATAAGAACGTCAGGCACGTTGGCCTTCTGCTCCAGGGGAAACACCATGGTGTAGCGAGTGTTGTCGTCAACAAGCATTAGGAAGTAGCGCTCACGACGCGGCCCATGGACGAGGGCGAGGCCCCAGACGTCTATGTGCAGGGTCACTAGCGGTGTGGTGGTGGGGGGGAACGAGGAGGAGTGAGGGGCACGACGGAGCTGGCCCCCGACGTAGGGGGTGCACGGTGGCGTTGCCGAAGAGGGGAGCGAAAGGAATGACGCAGGGGGACCTAAGACAAGACCGTGCTGAGACATGTGACGGAGACGTGTGAGGGCGGGGTGACCTAGTCGGTGGTGCCACAGAAGTGACGGGTGAGTAAGCGAACTACATGCGCAAGCCGCAGCAACCTGGGGGGGCATCCCAACCGGGAGAGACTCAGTGTCCAGCGTGAAGAGGCCTGACACCGGGTCCCGGGGGAACGTGGTAAGGGGGGCACCAGTGGTGGCCTCGGTACAGACAGCGTACCTCTCGTGATCAGGGAACGTAGTGGTGATGCCGAGGTCCTGAAAACAGCCGACACCAACTAGGTTCCGAGAGAACGAGGGGATGTGCAGGCCTATAAGAGAGCCTGAGGGAACTGCCGGACAAGGGAGGGTGGTGGAACTACGGGCGACTACCGAACCTGAGGAAGGGTCGGCAAGGGCAACTGTGGCAGGGACGGCAAGCGGCGTAAGCGTAGTGTGGTCCCGAAAGAAACACCGAGATGCGCCAGAGTCGAGAGTGAATGAGAGCGTGGCAGTGGCGGCTGGGGGCGGAGGAGCTAGGGTGGAGCCAAGGCTAAACAAAGCAAAGCGTCCTATGCCTGACACAGCAGGGGAGCCTAAACTAGGCACACTAGGCACACCTACACTAGGCAACATGGGGTAATAGGAACCACTCACACTAGAGTCATCTCATCCATGTCCATATCAAAGATCCTAACACCACGGCGGAGCGGACTGTGCCTGTCGAGGAGGTCCGGCGCGGGGCTGAAGCAGAGACAAAATATGTCGTCCAGGCGATTGAAACAACGAGTGAGGGTATGACCCATCTTACCGCACACGAGGCCGCGGCGAGGACTGGTTTGGAGTTGGTACTGGCAGCGCCCGTCACTCGCACCACCACCCGACGACGAGCTACGTGCACAACCACTGTGACCACCACCACCACCGGCGCCAGGCCACCCAGGCGAAAGGCGGGAGGCGGCCGACCCTCCGCGGCGACTGCTGCTGCTGCTGCAGAGGTCGACGAGCCACGCGTTGAACTCAACCGGCTGACCCTCCGCGTCAAAGCGCAGCACGGAGTCAGTCACTATGGCCGCTGCAGCCGCGAACAGGCGGTGAAGGGCGGGACGGAGCGATGAGGAGCAGTAGAGAGTAGTGCTCTACGGTGCAGTGCGGTGGAACGCAGTGCAGTGCAGCGCCGCGCGATGCAGAGCAGTGCAGTGCGGTGGGGCATGGTGTAGTGCTATGCCGCGTGGTGCATAGCGGTGCGGTGCGGTGGAGTGCGGTGCAGTGCGGCGCAGTGCGGTGGGGCGCGGTGCAGTGTAGTGCTGCGCGGTGCT